ACATCAGCAGGGACATCAGCAGCAGCAGCAGCAGGGACAGCAGCAGCAGCAGCAGGGACAGCAGCAGCAGCAGCAGCAGCAGCAGGGACAGCAGCAGCAGCAGCAGCAGGCACTGAGATCTGACAGGCTCGCGGTTGTGTCAGAGCCAGGAGGGAGCCGCAGCTCCCTGGCAGCTGTGCTGTCCCACTCTGCACTGCAGCCAGGGCTCTCGGGGCGCTGGAATCATCTCCTGAGCTCTGAGCTGCTCAGGTAACCCCGCCATGGGTTAACCAACCCCTCCAGGAGTGAGTTAACCCTGCCAGGAGATAACCAACCCCTCCAGGAGTTAACCAACCCCTCCAGGAGATAACCAACCCCTCCAGGAGTTAACCAACCCCTCCAGGAGTTAACCAATCCTGCCAGGAGTGAGTTAACCCCGCCAGGAGTGAACCCACCAAGCTCTCACCCTGCTGCTCCCCTCTCTGCTCCCCTCTCAAGGTGAGCTCTGCTGTCACCCTGAGGTCTCCCCTCTGTCACCCTTCTGTCTCCTTCTGTCACCCCTCTGTCACCCCGCTGTCTCCCTGCTGTCTCCCCGCTGTCCCCCCTGTGTCACCCCACTGTCACTCCACTGTCCCCCCTGTGTCACCCCTCTGTCCCCCCCGTGTGCCGGGGCTCCCTGCGCTGCCCAGCCGGACGCTGCCCGCAGGTTTCGGGAGGGTTCGATGGCTCCATCCCCGCAGGGTTGGTGTGCAGGGGGACATCGGCATCGCCCCAGTGCGGGGGGATCCTGCCGGCTGCTCCCTGCCCTGGGGGTCCGGGTTCTGGTGCAGGTTCTGCTCTGGGTTCTGCTCCGGGTTCTGCTCCCCACCCTGCAGGATCCCGGTTCTGGTGCAGGTTCTGCTGCCCGGCCCGGGGCTCATCCAGACGGGGTTCTTGGGTTAAACCGGGGGAGCGTTTGTTCAGCGCAGGGACAGACCGGGAGCCCCGAGCACAGGCAGGCTGGGGCTGTGTGGGGCTGTGTGGGGTGTGTGGGGTGTGTGGGGATGTGTGGGATGTGTGGGGCGGTGTGGGGTGTGTGGGGTGTGTGGGGTGTGTGGGATGTGTGGGGCTGTGTGGAGCGGTGTGGGGCTGTGTGGGGATGTGTGGGGCGGTGTGGGGCGGTGTGGGGTGTGTGGGGTGTGTGGGGTGTGTGGGATGTGTGGGGCTGTGTGGAGCGGTGTGGGGCTGTGTGGGGATGTGTGGGGCGGTGTGGGGCGGTGTGGGGTGTGTGGGGTGTGTGGGGTGTGTGGGATGTGTGGGGCTGTGTGGAGCGGTGTGGGGCTGTGTGGGGATGTGTGGGGCGGTGTGGGGCGGTGTGGGGTGTGTGGGGTGTGTGGGGTGTGTGGGATGTGTGGGGCTGTGTGGAGCGGTGTGGGGCTGTGTGGGGATGTGTGGGGCGGTGTGGGGCGGTGTGGGGTGTGTGGGGCGGTGTGGAGCAGTGTGGGGCGGTGTGGGGCTGTGTGGGGCGGTGTGGGGATGTGTGGGGTGTGTGGGGCGGTGTGGGGATGTGTGGGGCGGTGTGGGGCGGAACCAGGGCAGTCTGAGGTCGGGGTCTGACGGGGACACAGCGAGGGACAATCCCCAGGGGCTCAGAGCCTCAGAACCGCTGGGCTGACGCCCCACGAGGGCTCCGGGCTGGGGCAGCTCCTCCCGGGCTCTCGGGGCCCATCCCCGAGGCGGAGGATGGGATCAATCCGCTCCTCCCGGGGCCCGAAGCCGCTGCTGTCACCCCAGCCCTGCTGGGAAACCTCTGTGTCCCCGGGCGGGCACCCGCTCCTTCCCGCTGGAGCGCTGCGGAGCGCCGAGCCGGAGCCCCCGGAGCATCTCAGCCCTTCCTGCCGTCCCTGGGCAGCTGGGACCAACACCCCGGTGACAGCTCTGTCCCCACATGGGGACAGAGACAGCTCTGTCACCTGACCCGGTGAGCACCCACGGCACGCCCGGGTGCGCCGGCAGGGAGCCTGGGCTCGCCCCACGCCTGTCCTGCTGGCCACGGCTCGGGCAGGGACACGCTGCTGTCCCCGAGCTCCGGGACAGCGCCCGGGGGCTCCCGCTGCCGCAGCCCTCGCACCGCACCCCTGAGCAGGGCTGGCCCCATCCCGATCCCGATCCTGATGCTGATCCTAATCCTGGTACTGATCCCGATCCCGATCCTGATCCTGGTACTGATACTGATCCTGATCCCGATCCTGGTCCCGATCCTGGTCCCAATCCTGGTACTGATCCTGATCCTGATCCCGATCCTGATCCTGATCCCAATCACCCCGAGAGGCTGTGACATCCCTGTCACCCCCGTGGAGCTGTGACATCCCTGTCACCCTGCCAGCCCGCCTGCCCAGGCTGTTCCATTCCCATTCCCGTGGCGTGGCCCAAGGGACAGGAGGTGACTGTCCCGGTGCCCGTGTCCTGGCGGGGTTTGGGGTGGCTGTCCCTGGATGTCCCTGGCGCTCCATCTGTCACCCCACGGGCGGTGGCTCTGGGGACCAGAGGGGCCGGAGTCCCCCCAGGGCCACCGCGGTGTCCCCCAGGGCAGGTGGGGACGTGGGGACCCGGTGGCACCTGTCCTGTTCCTGTCCCTTCTGCTCGGGATGAGATGGGAACAGCCGGGGACACTTTGGGGCGGCTCTGGGGACCCGAGGAGTCCGGATGGAGTCACCGCTTGGTGACGGTGAGCGCAGCCCTGGGGACATCCAGTGACACGGCACGGCCCGGCCCAGCCCCGAGCTCAGCTCAGAGCCCAGCCCGGCCCAGCCCAGCCCAGCCCAGAGCTCAGCCCAGCCCAGCCCAGCCCAGCCCAGCCCAGAGCCCAGCCCAGCTCAGCCCAGAGCTCAGCCCAGCCCAGCCCAGCCCACCCCAGCCCAGAGCTCAGAGCCCAGCCCCGCCCAGC